CCTCCAGCCGCCGCAGCAGCAGATCCGCCACAGGACCATCCGCCATGGTGGCTCTCGGTAGGCTCGGTGTGTCCGGATCGGGCTTTGCGCCACCGGAACCGGAACCCGGGGTTGTGACGCCACCTTGAGCGTGGCGAAGCGAAGCGAGCGCCCATCTTGTCGCCATCTTGAGTGTGGCCTCTGCGCCTCAAAGGGTGCAACCATTCAGTCCCCACCTCTGCCCCGGCTCGACCAGTGGCATCTGTTAACCAGAGAGATAAAATCGGTGACCTCATGGCCAGAAGCATCGTTCTGTTTTGAGTTTCATCCAGCCTCACCTCCAGCGTGCTATGTGACCTTGGACTTCACCCTCTCTGGGCCCCTGCCCTTCTGGGAATATCGTGTGTGTGTGTGTGTGTGTGTGTGTGAATATCTTGTGTGTGTGAATATCGTGTGTGTGTGAATATCGTGTGTGTGTGTGTGTGTGTGTGTGTGTGTGTGTGAATATCTTGTGTGTGTGAATATCGTGTGTGTGTGAATATCGTGTGTGTGTGTGTGTGTGTGTGTGTGTCTCGGAGTCTCACTCTGTCGCCCAGGCTGGAGTGCAGTTACACACTCACAGCCACCCCAGCTTCGACCTACTGGGCTCAGTCCATCCTTCCAAGTTGCTGGAATCAAAGGTGCGCCACCATGCCCAGCTAATTTCTCTATTTTTGTGTTGTAGAGATGAGGTCTCACCAAGTGAGCCACCTCGCCCGGCTGTGGTTATCTTTTGCCTTGGAGAAGGGCTGTGGGTTGTGGCTTCAAAATGGTCACACCTATAATCCCAGCACTTTGGGAGGCTGAGGTGAGAGGATTGCCTGAGCCCAGGGATTCAGGACCAGCCCAGGCAACTTGGCAAGACCTCGTGTCTACAATAAATCAAAAAATTAGCTGGGCGTGGTGTAGTTACAGCTACTTGAAAGGCTGAGGTGGAAGGATCGCCTGAGCCAAGCAGGTCGAGGCTGCGGTGGCCATGAGCGTGCCACTGCACTCCAGCCTGGTGACAGAGTGAGATTCCAACTCAAAAAAATTTTTTTTTCAAAGGGAGACTGGGTTGGGAGTATCCACATTTATAGAGGGGAAAAGAGACTCACCTAATAATAATTATAATCAAGTTGGTAGCTAGCCTGTATGGACTACTTCCTATGTGCCAGTGCTAAGTACTTCGGGAGTATCATTTCATTTCTACCTAAAACTTTATGGTATAGATACTGATATAGCCCCGATTTCACAGATGAGAAAATCGAGGCTCCGAGGATAATACAACTTGCCCAAAGTTCTGTAGGAAGTTGGTGAAAGTGGACTCAGAAATTGTTTTGAATTGCAGTCTCACTGCATCATGCAGGCTGTAGTTCTGTGGCACGCTCACGGCCATCCTAGCATCAACCTCTGGGCTCAGGCAATCCTTCCACCTCAGCCTTCCAAGTAGCCGGAACTACAGGCATGTGCTACCACACCTGGCTACTTTTTTGCTTTATTGTAGAGATGAGGTCTCTCACCAAGTTGCCCAGGCTGTTCTCGAACCTGTGGGCTCAGGCAATCCCCTCACCTCGGCTTCCCAAAGTGCTGGGATTACAGGCTTGCACCTCC